GCAGGGGCAATGTTTGGCATTAGGAGGGCACATCAGTGCTGTGAGATACAGTTTATTGGTTTGTGGACCAACAAACGAAAGGGGTTGCCTCATGGCATCGAAGGGTGATGAAATCTTGACGTTAAATGTAGATATCTATTTCCTTTGGGGAAATGGTGACAAACGGGATTGTCTTGACTATAATATGCAAGGAAGATCGGCCTCAAAGTGGGGACAACAACGAAAGATAAAGCAGCCCGATGGCCAACATGTTGGGAGATCCCACAAGTACTTGTATGACAAAAAAAGGTGCCAAAGACAATTCAACCCTCTAGTACTTGTTCCAAGTGTCCTAGAGAGAGATAACGCGTTCCGATCTCCACGTCGCAAAATTCCTGGTTAGGCGACCCATCGCCGCGGCGAAATTGATCGGAAGCATCTCTTAGCACAAGAGATTTTTTCCATTAGTGGTATATATGCATAGCTGATGTCTCAAGTTGGAGGTTACCATTTTCATGCCCAACCTGGATATACGGCCATTCCTGTTCATCGGCCGTGATAGGTTCCAACACTAAGAATGGGACAGCAGCTAGTAGAAGAAGAGTACGAGTATCAATCAAAGAACAGACGACAAATCTGCATTGCATGTGTCTCTCTTAGTGTCAGAGGACCTTTCGGCCATTGTGTGCTTTGTCCGTTCTCATCCAGGAGGTCTAGAGACGACCGAGAAGAGGAATCAGATGTGGTTGAGGAGTTTTTCTGATACAACCGGCTGGTGTCCTGGGATGATGTCCGGTACTATAGGTGTTCCTCGCGTATGTTCCATTCATTCATAGTTTGAATGAATGTGATTACGAATTGGTGCAGCACGAACAGTCAACAAAAGAATTGAGGAAAGGAAACAAGTAATAAAGTCCCGGCTGACTTGCGAGGATAGGTATCTCGACATCGGTGGAGGTTTATATCTTGAAAACTTCCCGAGCCTGGCGAGCTTTTTAAATATGTTCGAATCCGCGTTACGATCGTTTTTCAGCGCCCAATTACAACCTTCCTGAAGTGACGAAACACCACGCTGCTGGAAGGAGGTATAGAGATGTAGGGGACGCAGTGGACACGCTCTTAAACTGCTCAGGTTACTATCAAGTTCCGGGAGCCCCAATCCGCCCTCGTACCCCCAAGGAAAAGCCAGCCACCCCGTGGCAGCCATTCGATATAGCCCATAGAGAGTAGCCATGCCCCCGAAATATTGCCCCTTGCGGTCCGGTGCAGCAAAGGAGAGTACCTGGATGAAGGCCCAAGTTCGTAGCAAACGAGAATGGCGTCTAGGCACCCTCCGGACATGGATTTAGGTCATCCCTGTCGACAGATCAGAAATAAAATCCAAATATCTCTAGCAACCAGTTATTAGGAACAGAAATGACAGCGCGCTTACAGGTCTTGGGATAGACATCCTGTTGACATCTTTGGAGTGCAGAGTAATAATCAAAATCCATTTTTAGATTCCGTTTGTTAAGGTTTTAGCAAAGATAGTGAACCTCATTCGCACAGATCTCGATACGGAATGATGTTGGTCCATGATCGCTTAAGAGGAGCCAAGTGTAGAGCACCAAATTTTGTGCTTGCCAAGGTTCCAGGCGCCCAAGCCCAGGATGGATCCCTGGGGCTTAACTGTAAATCCGGGGCCTGGGCGCCCATCTTGGCCCAAATGCTTAATGTTATTAGTGGTCCCGCCCACTGGGCTGGACGCGCCTTGGCACCAATTTTAACTATGAACACATCGAGTAGTTATATGCTGCGTATAACGGCCAAATGCACAACGGCACATCATGTAATATAGCACACCTGAGTCTACTATCCCGATAGAGTATGTACAGGTATAGGTACACACACATGCACCAGACAAACCTCCCCATCCAAGATGCGGCCAAAGCGTGTGTATCACAACGCCCATCAGGATAGCAGAGGGTGCAGTGTTAGTCCCAGGGCGACCTTCCCCAAGTTTCTGTCAGGTTATGCGAGCCGCCATCTCCATTCAATCATTCTCTTCCATCCGGACAAGCAAATAATCTTGCCGAAGGTGCCGTTTTCGTGCCACTTCTCCCGTCGCTGGTCCGATCACAACCCATGTATATATCGGTCGTACAGGGGACAGAATATCACCAATACGAATCGGATGTTACTTTATCTTCTCTTCTTCGAACGCCTTGAGGCCTGAGCCTGAGCCGCATTCTCAGCACACGGTAATTGATGGCCAGGCCTTTATCAGGTTTCGCTGTCAATATTATCTTCATCAGTACTAGAGAAAAGGGGACTGGAATATGCCGTGAAGGGAATTGTGGAGGTTTTGTTTGGCCTTTGGCCACAAGCATCAAGATAAGCTTCATTGCTTTCCCCAACTCTGGGCAATGAGTTTTCCACGACTGGCAGCTGGTCGACATTGTGCCAATTGGACGGATCTATGTCAAGGGGGAATCAAAAAAAAAAAGAAAAGAAAAAAGAAAAAAAAAGAAAAGAGAAGAAAAGAAAAAACGAATGAGATGCATGGAGGTGAGATATACGGTTCTATTACACATTTTTGTGATGCCGTCTGGATGAATGCATTGTGACGTCGCATTGTTTGGCCCCCTCGATCACGCAGATAACTAGGCATCATCGACCACAGCTCTGGTTTATTTTCCTCTGCCCAATATATTTGTCGTACTCACCCCCCAAAGCATTTTGCGCTTGATCCACGATATGGCAATTTGCATTCTCATGTTGGAAAAAAGTGAGCTCGCCATAATTTGGCCAAGGTCCGTGGCAAACAAACCGGAAGCTGTGGCTGCAATCACATCGTCAGAGGCGTCCAGGACTTTGCCAATTGACCTCGTACTCGGGGCTCCGGAGATTGATGAACGCGAGCCACGGACGAAGTGCATGAGAATTTATCTGAGGGAAGTGTGGAAGAGCGCTGTTGATCTCGCGCATTGCAGTTGGTTGGCTGGGGTGAGAAGGATATTCAGAAACTCTGCATACGGGGAAGGGATATACGCAGCAGTAAAATGAGAGTTAAGTTGCGAAGGCAACTTCGTGAGTAGATCTCACGCATTTTATATCAAGGGAGCTCTGCATTCAGGGATCACCTTGTTATCCAGATTTGCGCAGTAAGATTATAAAATCGGGTTGAATAAGTGAGAAGGATGTGCTTCTCGCCAGAAAACATGATTCAAATCCTGGCCGCTCTCTCGTTGATATCATTTCATCAACCATGTCAGGACAACAAAAACAAAAAACAGTGTCAGTGGACAGGATATCGTGCGGCTAAACCCCCAGCGCTTCCAACCTAGAAATCAAAATCCCGAGGCTCCTTCTGACAGTGCGAGTGTCAGCCGGCGAAACCGACCAGCCTAGAAACAATCGGAATTTCCCAAAGCGGAGCAAATGTCAAATTCAGGACAGCGTGCATCTTATTTCCACACTGCACGGACAGGGTTATGATGCAACACCCGCTCGTCCGCGCCTGAGTCAGCCCATTGTGCCCAGGACCTAAAGAGTGCGGGGGGATGGGGTTAGAGAAGCGTGGAGCAAACAAGCCTTTGATACAGCATTGGCAGGGTAGGGTGGATGCCAGCGAATACTGGAATTAAGCAAGCCGCTTGACGCCAGAAAATAATATGGGTTTCAAGCCACCGCGAGCCAAGGATTCGAAAAGCCCCTTTAGAATGTTGGGAAGGCTTGTTATTTTTTTTTTCTTCTCTTCTCTCCCTGGTGACGTGCAGCTCGGGGTTGGTTTCATCGAGAGCCGAGAGCCAAAAACTCGAAACGAGTAAGTGTGACAGCCTTTATTTAGATTTTTAGAGCTGTCAGTCAGATAGCGGCTGACAGAATGGAAGCCGAATCGAAGATTCTATTGTTTTCAGCCAAAAAAGAAAAAGAGGAGAGGAAGAAGGTTCCGATATTGGGTTCAGGTTTAGGCAATTTTCCCCGACCTGTCACCTCGAGGGTAACCCTGTCCATAATCGGATCCGGTGACAGTTGATTGGCGTCTCAATTAATCAATCCCCCCTAGCGGGGGTGAGGCCATCTCCATAACCCCAACGAAGCAAAACAAACATGGAGGATGCTGATGGGTGAATCATCCCTTCACCGACCCACCGATTTCATGTTCTCGCTCGAACACGGAGACTGGGAAAACCGAGGATGAGCCGCAATAGAGCAGGGATGAATGGCCTATTCATTTTCAAAATTCCCTTACCAGCTTCGCAAGTTGAACCCGAAAATTTTTAGGCCGTTAGAAGCCTGGCCGAGGCTCCATGCGGGTTGCAAGAGCGAGACACTATCAATGATTGCAGTTGACTTGTCGTATCTCGGGTCTAGCTTACGGGCAGATGGAGAAATTCCGGCTGGCAAATCGGCCAGCTCCAGGCTGCCGGATGAGGATACAAGACAGAGAGGAGAGTGTGGGGAAGCTCTCTTGGACCAAGAGTAGCTCGAACGAGCCATGTTAGTTTAGAGCCAAAGAAGCTCCGCGCCCCTTTTACTTTTTTCGTCCTCGTTTAGATGCTTCTCGCGGGAAAAAAAAAAAAAAAAAAAAAAAAAAAAAAGAGCAAGATCAACAGCTATGGCCATCAGCCCATTGGTGAGAGATGAATCCTCGAGGAGCGGTAATGATGAGCATGCATCAAGCAAGGAGTTTGAAAGAAACAACATTTTGCACATCGATTTCATTCGTCCCCTTTTACAACGCTCTCCCTGCACCACCACGCTGGTCACAATTATTTGTAATATGGTCCACAGATCCCAGCTCCAGTCAGCATGAAACGAGTCGATTTGTCCTTCTCGTGCATGCCATGTCAGCTTAGGAGACGTGGGGCCCTTAACAAACCTTCTGTGTCCGAACTAGGGTCAAACAACCTTGGTCCTTGGATGAGCGGCGGGCTGAATTGTTCTCCTCCTCATGCTCGAATGTAAATCCCTGATTAATATTTCGTTTTTAGCTCATCCCTCATTTTAAAACCTAACGTTAGCGCATGGACTCCACGCCCTGAGGCAAAATTTCGGTTTCGACGTTGGGGTCGGGGCATAAAGAACACAAAACGCCCGTGATTGCAGCCGACGCAAGTCCCGGGTCCCCCTTGGGCTCTTGGGCTCCCCGGCATAAAAATCAATCATGAACCAGACATATTTTTTTGGTGCGCCGGCTGCAAGTAGTGTACGACTCCCCACCAATCCAGAAGGCCACTCGGCAATGGCAGATATGTCCACGCACTGATTCGCCAATTGTGCTGTCTGTCCCACATGCATGGATGCATGTTGGGTCAATCATCTCCAGAGCTCAGAGGACACAGCTCCTCATAGGAGTCGGAAAACGAAGGGACAGCCCCATGGTGTGCACTATTTGTGGAGCTCAACTGCTGCCAAGGATTATGCTGTGAGATTGGCTGCGAAGCTGGTCCTGGGGGAAAGAAATTTGCATGATACAAGGGCCCCCCAGATTTTTGGGTTTCGTTCAGAGAACTCGATGCCTAACGTTTGGCTGTCAAGTTCTATCTTCTGGCAGTATCGAGATTTCCTACCTTTATTCTTCATCTCCTGTAAACGGACAACCCGAATTTCGATGGGGAACTTGGATGTCGCTGACTTTACTTTCCCTTAACCGTGGGAATTGCCGGGCGCCTCTTTGCCCACCTCCGACTTTGTAACGAGCCGGCGACGGTGGATCTCTTATCTCAGTCCTCCACATGTCACAAACAAGTTGCCGTTCTTGTGAAAGGCTTCTTCCCCTCCTAACCCGTCCCCATCGCAAGAATGAGGGGGGCGAAGGCTTGTCCGACCTAAAATGAGAACCAGGCACGACGATATCTACGTCTTGGGGTGGAGCATGGTGATTTCAAAGCACAAAGCCATTTTAATTACAGCATAAAATTTGAGGGCGTGATGCCTGATCCGATACAGCAAGAGAGGCACCCATGGCAGCAATGGTTCGATGATTGCAAAAATAAATGAATCAACCAATAAAGTAAAAATGTGGCTTGGGAGATCTATCCTTGGGGGCATGCTAAGAAGATCTCAAGCTCAGACAACTGGTTACAGATCTGACGCAGCGTGACATCCTGGCGTGCCTCATAAGACAAGCCTCCCAGCCGTTTCTTCTGTTTCTGAAATAATAGGGAGAGATTGAACTCCGGCTTTATTGTGCCCGTTTTTCCTCCACTCGCAGGACTGTGGCCAAGAGCAGACCAGCTGGAGCGATGAAAAGCCCAGAACGAACTAATGGAGCCAAGAGTCTGGGTAGGGATCTTCTGTATAGATCTACGCAGGAGGAATAACCTGAAAACAACAAAAATCTTAATAATAATCGTATTGTGTTCATTCGATAGCGGCAGGATTGCCAAACACAATCGGCTCCATGCATGCATTTGCACCACGTCTCCCTTCATTCAGAGACAGATCGCCGTCCATATCATATATGTATGTCATCTCCATCTGTTCAGGGAGAACGATAAAGAGGCAATAAAATATACCCGCGGATTTTCATATTCACGCGCGCCAATATCCCTGGACCCGGGGGATTGCCCTAGATGAGTTAGAATTGGGTTAAGCTAGGGGGATCAGGAAGATTTGTGCAATCATCCATCGATCGTGGGTCTAGCATTCGCAATTTGGCTGGCATTGGGTCTCACCCTGAAAGTGATTCCAGGGTTCAATGACCTTCGCACCGTTTTTCATTCTTCCCAGGGAAAAATTTACTTTTTTTTTTGCCTCTTCTTGCCATGGTTCTGGGAGGAGGCTTCGTTTTGTCTTCCTCCTTCTATGAAAATATATATAGATTATTGCTTTTTATTTCAAAAAAAAAAGAGAGAGAGAGAGAGAGAAAGAAAAGAGACAATCATCTACGTTCACGCACCCCTTTTGCAATCTCCCCCCTCTTCAATTTCCCCCGTTCCCCCGGATCTGCTCCGCTGCCCTCTTTGGAATAAATCCCACATCTCATATCAATATTCTGCTTAGTTCGAATGGAGCTGGTGGAATCCGCCATCATTCGTGCTGTTACCGATGCCCCCATCACGGAACCCCGCAGGATGGCAAGACGTGGTGGGTAGTTAGCTTGAAAGTTTGAGCAAAGGCGAGTGAGAAGGAGAAAAAAAAAAAAAAGAAAAAGAAAAAAAGAAAAAGCTGAGCAAAGATGGAGCATGAAGCAAGACTAAAACAAGGCCGGCCGAACGCTCCACTTCGGATCGCAGTCGTTATTGGCTTCCAGATCGTTTGCTGGGGCTCTCTCGGCTGGCTCGCACATCCACACCAACCTTATCCCACGTTTTTTGCTTTGCCTCCCGTATTATGCATAAGCCCTGGTCCGGCAATCCTGCCTCCATGTTTGAAATCCGTAAATTTGTAAATTTTTGCAAAAAATAAAAAATAAAAAAAGAAGAAGAAGATCGCCTCCTCCGCTTCAGTCTTGTTTTTTCAAACGAGTCCAAAGGGCTCCCGCCCAGCCAAGACCAGGCCACTGTCTCTCCTCCCAATCAAGTGGCCTTGCCCCGTCCTGGATCGCTGACAGACACCGAGCATCCCGGCAGTCCGACCTCGCCAGGGTAGCATCGTTAGCTTCCTCTTTCAGGCATATCAATTGTTGCTCGGCCTCTCGTCTCCCTCGACTGTCCTGCGGCTGGGCCTTTAATATAATACCTTGTATCCCTCCCTCCCCATTTTCTTTCCCCCTTCTATTTGTTCTGTTCTTCCTTGTTCCTTGTTCCTCTTCTTTGCGGGTGGAGAGCTGGTTCTTTCGTTGCTTCTCCCTTGGTTTTCAACCTCCCTCTCTCCCAGGCCTCTTTGCTTTCCGCTCCATTCCTTTTTTTCTCCTCTGCCATTCTCGAGTTCAGCAAGATCTAAACCATTGTTGCCCTCCCTCCGGGCCTTATAGATAGATATATATATATATATATACATATATCAATCACAAATAAAAAACCTTTGTCGACCCGTGATACACATACAGAGACAACGCCGGACAGAATGACCGAACCAGCCGACAAAGACTTCGCCAACGGCGCTTCCAACGGCGACCCGACGACCCGCACCATGACCAACGAGGAGCGCGAGGTCGCCCAAGCCGCTGCCCGCTTCGGGTACGGCCCCCTCGCCCAGATCTCCACGACCGGCGAGCGCCTCCCCGCCTTCGGGGGTGAGTTCCAGCCCGGTCTGTACCGCCCCGTCGAGCAGCGCAAGTTCGCCAACCCGGCGCCGCTGGGTCTGTCGGCTTTCGCCCTCACCACCTTCGTCCTCAGTCTGATCAACATGCAAACGCGCGGGGTAACCACGCCCAATTTGGTGGTTGCGTCGGCGTACGGGTATGGCGGCTTCGTGCAGTTGCTCGCGGGCATGTGGTGAGTGGGAGAGTGAATATTCACCCCTTGCGAAATGAAAAGTGAAAATGAAATTGGCACATATCCAATTCGAGAGATGCACGATGGTGGTGGTGGCGGTGATAGTGATGTTCCTGCTGCCGCTGCTGCTGTTAGTGGTGATGACGATGATGAAGACGGCAACTGACATGCTGTGGCGTGGTAGGGAAATGGCCGTCGGCAATACGTTCGGTGCCACGGCACTCTCGTCGTACGGTGGCTTCTGGATCTCCTACGCAATCATCTTCACGCCCGGCGGGTTTGAAATCACATCGACGATACTCGAGAAGAACGGTTTAGCGGCGCTCCAGCACTCAGTGGGATTCTGGCTTTTCGTAAGTGTTTGATTCGCATTCTTCTTCTTCCTCTTCTTTTAAAGAACCGGCCTTGTCCTCCCCCGCGCGTGTGTGTATACTGATATGGATACGCATTTCAGGGTTGGTGGATCTTCACAACCATCCTGCTCGTGTGCACGCTCAGGTCCACCGTGGCCTTCTGCCTCGTGTTCGTCACTCTGGATCTGGCATTCTTGATGCTTGGTCTTGCCCACTTCTTCCTAACCCCCGAGCTGTCGCCGAACCCTTCTCTGATCAAGGCGGGCGGTGTCTTCGGGATCATCTGTGCGTTCTTGGCGTGGTACAATGCTCTGGCGGGTATCGCGGACACCAGCAACAGCTTCTTCATCATCCCCGTCAAGCACTTCCCGTGGTCGGCCAAAGCAATGGCGGCGCGCAACAAGACCGAGCGCGAGACTGTTTAATGTAGTAGCCCAGATGGCGCGCAGGCAAGAGAGTTTTCTTTAATATATATTTCCATAAATATGATATCCCCCCCCGGTCCCATATATTTCTTGTTCTTCGCTGTACAGATTTTGTTGTTGTAGTAAGTTCGTTCGCGAGTGAACTGAACACCAAGGAATCAATCAGGTTTGGCGTGTGGTGGGGTGTTGAGAGAGAGAAACGCCACCGAAGCTAAAGGTCAAAAACAACGTTTTCTGCTTCCTCAATTACTTTTTATAGTCTCCCTTTATTTTCTCCCTTATCTTCGTTTCTTGACTCTATATTATAACTATATATACATACATACATTCCCTGCTCGTGCATCGGGGCGAGTGGATGGAATCTTTAGCAGAGGGCTTTCCTCGTCTTTTTTTTATATCGAATAATATATATATACATCTATACTTGGGCACGTCTCTTGTCGATGATGGGCCTCCTAGAATAATGCCCTTCCAAACCCCATTATTGCTTCAGAATGCGCCTAGCGCCAACTTGGTTGTAGCAATAAGATCATGATGTATATATATAAGCTGAGAAGGGAATGGTTTTGGATGACTCCCACTATATATGTGAATTCAGCAGAAACTGGACCGAGCAACACTTCAGTCAAGTATGAATAGTTACCTAGCTGATGAAATGATTTTGTAGTTCCGAGCTCTTGTCCTAGTCTACTACAAATGCCCATGAGTTGTCCTCTTGCTTGTTTTCTTCAATGCCAGTACTCTGTGGAGTTATTATTTATCTATCGTTCATCATGTCACAGGTGTCTCCTGACGCTGGCATCAATCACCGCACGACTCAACGATTTATACGCATCATATCCATATCTATATCTATCTCTCTATACATATATACACATTGATATAGGTTTCCATTATAGCTAACCCTTCGTCGTTGCTTTTAATTCTAGCTACTTTAATGAGTATTTATTACCTGTCTTGCCTTGTCTTTGCTTTCTTGAAATTTCCAATGGAACAACACGATGTCGTAGAAAAGGCAAAAAATTGTTGCCAAAAAAAATAAAAAGTGACAATATATAGATAATATTATGGCTGAAAGTCCGGCAATAATGAAAGGTAGAAAAGGCAATAGAAAAACTAAACAATGAATGAAATGGAAATATAGGAACAGGGAATGTGGAGAGATTATTAGAAGAAGAAAAGAGAGAGAGAGAGAGAGAGAGAGAGAGAAGAAAAAGAAGAAGGAAAACCCCAAATGCATGAAGGAGGCGGAATATGACAAGACGATGGAAAAGTTAGGAAGGTGATAAATGAAAACTCGGGCTAGACATGGCCTCGCAATTGACAGCAAGAGAAGAAAGAAGGATATGGAGATGCCAAAATAACAGGAAAAGCAGAGAAGGAGTAAAAATATGGCAAGGGCGGCAGAAATAGAGAGAACGGTTAAATGGCGGGCTCCGCGCACGGGAGTTATATTGAACTAGGGAAATGGTTGACGGATGGTAATGATGCTGAAACTGAAAATGAAGGTAATACGAAGCTTTCATACACACAAACACACACACGAACTATCAATCTGCCCTTGGAGGTGCCATTTTCGGCTCCACATAGTTCACTAGGGAGAACTCTTGTCACGCTCCTGCCCCTGCTCTGCCTTTTACCTCTTCTCCCCGCCACACCGATTTAGAGGGGGAGGGGAAGCAGAAGGGAGAAAAGAAAGGAGAATTGAAGAAAAGGTGAGAAAAAAAAGAAGAAAAATAAAGCCAAAGCCAAAGCCTAAACCAAGACCAGGAAAAAAAAAAAAAAAAAAAACCTAGGCAATCGGCTGTCCCGGCCGCGGAAACACCGGCGTCGTCTCCAAATTCTCCAGTCCCCCCATCGTCCCCTGCTGATTCATCTGCCACCCCTGGCCCGTCTGCTGATTGATAAACGCGCTTTGGCGGAACGGGTTCGTGCTGCCGGTCGGGTTGGGGCGGAGGGGGGCAAGTGTCGCGCCGGGCATTGGAGTTTGGGTTTGGGCTTGCGGTCGGAGGCCAGGTGCTGTTTGGGGGCGGGCGAAAGGGTTTGTGCCTGTTCGTTGTGGTTGGAGGGGAGGTGCGGTCGGTTGTTGTTGATGCTGTTGTTGGGATGGGAGTTGGGGGAGGGGTTGCGTGGGTGGCTGTGAGGTAAAGGGGGATGGAGATGATGGGGATTGGGAGCCGTTTGTGAATTGCGGGGATTGCATTGTTAGACGTTTGGCGAAGGGGTTTGTGGATTGACGGGATAGAGTAGTTGTGGAGAGGCTCGAGGGGGAGGAGGTTATAGGGCTTAGCGTGGATTGCAAGGAGAAGTTGGTGGTGTCTGATGAGGGTTGCGGGAGCATGGATTGGCGGAAGGGGTTGTTTGGCCGTCCGCCGCCGGTAAGCATGGGCTGCTGCTGGAAAGAGGCCATCCCGTTTTGCGGGATGCTGGGGAGAGTTGTTTGGAAGGTGTGCGATTGTACTTGCGAGGTGTAGCCGCCGAATTCGGCGCCTGTCTGCGCTGGTTGGAGAGCCTGTAGTTGTGGCTGATGTTGAGGCTGTGACTGTATCTGGCCAAAGGGGTTGGAAGTCAATTGTCCGAATTGGCCGCCAAAACCCGCTTGCTGCTGCTGCTGCTGACCAAGGCCTGTTGGAATCTGCGCGAATTGCTGTGACTGCAAGAAGTTATTTTGTTGCGGGCTAAACCCGGTTTGCTGTTGCTGGAAGCCCGCCTGTTGGAATTGCTGTGGCTGCATGTTTTGTGGCTGCTGCTGGAACTGCATAGCTAGAGGGTTGAATTGCTGTTGTTGAGGGGCTTGCTGCGGCATGGACGGTCGCTGCTGTTGAGGTTGGTCGGTGGAGTCGAAGAGATCAATTAGATTAGGCCCTGTGGTTTTCACTTCCAGTTTTGGTGCAGTTTGTGGTGCAGTTTGTGATGCAATGGGCGCCGGTTTTGATTTCTGCGGCGCTGAAACTGCTCGACTTCTCCCGGCTCCCTTGTCCTTCTCCTCACCGGCTGTTCCAAACTTTTGCGCACGATACTCGCGCCGGCGCTGGTCGAAATCGGGATCATTGAGGTCATCTTCGAGGAGCTTGGCCAAGTCGGTGGACGCATGCTTCAGATTCGGTATCGCCAGGCGTGTGGCGTTTTCAAACTGCCGCGCGATACGCAAAAACTTCACCACTTCTTCGGTCTGCACGCTGAATCGTTTGTATATCTTTAAAGCTCGCTCGGTATCCGGTCGTGACATTTCAAAGTAATTTTCTACCAATTAACGCCCGACGTAAGCGGTTATTCAACAGCGGAGAATCCTACAAACAGGGTGTACATACCTAGAATATTAATTGTTCCCTCATTCATCACAGAGTAAAGTGACAAGAGATCTAACGTCAGCAACCGGAATGCCGTCAGACTGATCTCGTTCTCTGGCTCGTCCATTAGGAGCTTGAAAAGAGGACACCGTCAGCTTGTGTGTCCAGCGATGTTGTGCCAAACCCTATATATATATGTTTGCGCAACTCACATTACATTTCACCAGCGTATGGATCTGCTTCTGTACAATCTCCGTCTCCCTCAACAAGCCCTTGCTCACAGTAAGCCGCTTTAATCGTCCCTGGCCCCCGCGGACGAAATCCGTCTTTGTCTCCCCAAAGGCAGTCGCACGCGAAACGAGATACTCGGAGTATTTCCATATATTAAATCCCTGCGCCTGGACTAGATTTGAGCGTCAGAATCTTCGTATTCCAACTGCATGGAGGAGAATCAAAAACAGCATCGGTATATTCCATCGCCATCACGTACCTTCAGATATACTCGTGACAGTCAGTACTCTCGGATTCTGCGCTAGAAATTTCAACGCAGCGCCGGCGGACCCTTCGCGGATCATCATGTGCACTACGATAAGGGCCTTGTATACGATGGTCCATGTTGACTCACGGATGCGATACTGAAGCGTGCGGAAGATCTCGGCGACGCCGGCCTCGCTGTATGTTGCGGTCAGGATATGCTCGATGTACTTAGATTTCGGGGCGGCATTCTGTTTTGGGTTCCCAGTATGTGTTAGCTTTTAAGCTGGGCTTGAACTCTGCTTGGCTCTTCGGGGTCGGCTTGTATATTGGATACGTGGGAGGGGAGGGGGGGAAGGGGAAAGGGGAAAATGCATGGAGTTTGTTGGCGATGAATTTGGGCAGCTCTATATATGTAGACTGACTTTAGTCTTTGTCGCTCCCTTGACGGATTTCTCGAAACTTGCGCCAGGCATAGCTGGCTGCGTCCGGGGACGAGTGGTAGGCTAGGTGATATATGGATATCGGATTGGTGGCCTCTTGGTGGCCTCTTGGTGCCTTTTGGTGCCCTTTGGTGGAGGCAGGCGGGAATGAAGGAGAAGGGGAATGCGGGAGCTGCCGTCTCCCGGGGGTTGCAAGAGGACACCGCTATCCGGAAGCCGATAAATCAGGGGGTTCACTTTTCGGGATAGAGATTCGGGTGGTCGCTTTGCTATGGTTTAGCTTGCTAGGAGATAGAGCAGCGCACAGGGAAGTTCATGATGGCGGCGGCTTGGTTCTTTGGTATACACAAAATGATAAGTGGCTCAAAAGCTCCGTTCCACACCGTGCACGGCTCCAAGCCTTGCTCAATTGGTAGAAACAGCAACACCTGTCAAAAGGCGGGGGACAGCGCTGGCTTGGTGAACTCTGCGTCGACTAGAATTTCGACGGCAGAAATAGCGACCGTGGCGTCAGCGGATGATATGCAGGTGGCAGACGGAGCCGGATTCCAGGGGGGAAAAGCTGGGTGTTGGGTAGGATCCGTGGGGATGAGGTGCAAGGCGGTCGGGATTTGGGTGAGGTTGAGGACGAGGTTAAGGTTGAAAGTTGCAAGGTGAAAGTTGACGGTCGAAGACTCGCCGGCCAGGACAGGGGAGGGCGATCTCGACGCGGCTTGGAGCGAGGAATTTTTAATTATTTGAACAAATCCATATAACTACTCAGAGGACGTTACAGTGGATATCCCCGAGCTTGAGGGCCATGCAAGTTCCAAATTAGTTTTTTTCTTATTGCCGTTGAAAACCCGTTAAGCCACTCTCCGTTCATTTTGCGATGTTGGCTTTTATTTAACTAATATATTTAATTATTTCCATGTCAACGGACACATATTGTATGGAGACTAGGCTCAGTTCATATCCAATACCCATTCAGGCTCTGCATCAATTCCACGCCATGAATATCTCATGGGGAATCCCCTTCAAAGCAGAACCAGATACGGACTTTCTATCCTTACAGGACACCCACGCCTATGGTTGGAGTGATGTATCTGTTGGTTCTATATATATGACAAGGGACAAACAGAAACACGTCTAAGAATTCGCACCGGCGAACTAGCTTTGCTTCAAAAGGGAGACAAAATATAGCATATCCGACCGCCGACCGTAGAGAATGGGGGAAAAGAAACGCCCATCCCCCATAAATATATATACACCAGTATCCAAACCAATCAAAACAGAAAATCCAATCAATCAACAAGGAATTCGTAGGAAAGCAACCACAACACAAAGAAAAAAGAAATCTACATCCACCCAATCCCACCAACCCACCTCCGCTCCTGTTCGCGCTGCTGCTGCTGCTGCTGCTGTACATGTACCTGCCCCGGCTCCCGGTCCGTCGGCATATGCACTGGCACGAAGCCCCGGACACCAGCACAGGCACCCAAATCCGTATCCATACCCATGTCCATGTCCATGTCCATGTCCATACTCATATTCCCACCCGGACCCTCGGCTGGCGTGTGGCTGGGTATCGGCACGCCGTTATTCGGCATATGTGAGGTGGCAGGCGACGGGCCGTTCTTGAATCCATGGCTCTGGATATTGCTCTGTGTATCATTCCGCGACGTGCGGACTGGCTGGAAGAATCTCTGCAGCGTGTGTTGGTTCGGATCTAGCGGCGGTGGTTGTTGTTGTTGTTGTTTGAGGGCTTCGGCTGTAGACGTTCCCAGGGTGGGTTCTGCGGTACTCTGCGGCTTCCGCTGGGCGGAAAATAGCCATTGGAGGGTTTTATCTGTTTGCACAGACAGAGCAAAAGTTTTGAAATTAGCTGGAGAAGCCGCGCACCAACTCGTCACTGCTCTATGGCTAGCTTACCGTATATGGTCTGCTCGTCTGGACGGTCGTTCCGGAAACGTTTGCGGGTGCGGCTGTGGAGGTGTCGTGGGGGCTCGTCGACGGTGATTGTCGCGGTTCCTAGGAAGGGCATTGGGGTTGGGGAGGTCTGGTTGTGATTGAGGTAGATTGAGGAGCTGTGGGGCCTTGGGGACGTGATGGTGGTGAAGGACGCCTTGCGTTTGAGAGCCATGCTGGATGAGATATACAGAGGTATGCAGAGATGGACTGTGGATGGGTATGGTGTGTATACGCTGCGTCGGCGTGGAGATGGGTTCAGACCAGCGCGATTGGGAGTGGGAAATACCAGATCCCCGTGAACTGTGATGCGTATAGCCGGGAGCTTCGGGATAGCACGCTGGAAGCCGTCGCGGGAGTTGTAACTGCTGCGTATGTGATACTGTACCGACCGGCTCTTTATATGCAAAGATAGGTGCGGGAGCGGAAAAACTAAGCTGTTGGAGGGCGCTGATTGGCTGCTGACGCGGAATATCTATCCTGCGGAAATCCAAGAACGGCCACGAGCACAATCGGTAATTTTGGCATCCTTTTTGCTTTGTATCGATTCGACCTCCATTCAGCCCTCAATTCTACAAGTTCTCCCTCTCGATGAATCGGCCAATGCAACGAGATATCTCGCACTATTTGTTGCAAACGTCGACGTCCAAGAAACGCCAGAATGGTTTAGAGACGCGTGATCACGTGGTAGATCAAGCTAGCTCCAGATCCACACGACGCGACTTCTTCAAGAAAATCCCCCCGCATCGACCAGCGCAAGAACGCAAGTTGGCAACCAATTCGTAGCCAGATTCGGGCCGTCTACTCAAGTTGATCGGCTCGAAGGGCTGATATATGCTCTTCGTCCAACAGGAAACAATAGCCAAGGTTTTCCGCAGGTTTGCGCACTTTTCAGTGACCCTGGCTCGTCGACAAGTTATGTTGTTATGGAATTCATCGAAGGGGCAACACCCTAGATACTCAAACAGTACTTTCTGGAAATGCGTGATTCCTCCCTCATCGGGCTATTTTATGGCAGTATCGGGGAAATCCCCCTTCTGCATGGTATTTTCTGGAACCCCCCCAAAGTCGACGCTTTCGATCAATGGTAGTTTCGACTCTGAAGCTGCACTGAGTGAAGCGATGACTTTGAAGTCTCTAGAGGCAGCCGATCTCCCTACCGTCCGCAAGGCTGACTTCTATCATCGATCGCTATCGCATATAATTTTCGAGACCATGCTCCGAAATTTATGCGTGGGGGACTTCCAGCGTAAGAACATCACAATCAACCAAATCGCCTGACGATGCCCATATTATATTCCCCACCAATATGAGGTAACCCTCATCGATTTGGGGGACATCTGGATGGTACCCCAGCTAGTGGGAATATTCTGTAATGATGTGTGCCAGCAGGTGTGGTGGTGACTGGGATAAATGGCTTACTGGAATTTTGCAACCGTTCAACGCGGAATTTCCTTGGATCAACATGATGTTGTTGGATTTATATAGTCCTGGCTTTGACAATGGATCGTGGCATCGCTTCTTTCAGAGGAGAAGCCTTATCTCATCCCCCTCCATCCGTAGAGCTTACTCGACAAGCATTCCTCTTGATATAAGGACTGCCTGCAAAGACCCCTGAAAAGACTGCAGAGACTTGATAGCCATGACAGATGCAAAATTCGATGATCGGCCAGCGCCCGCGTAGTCCCACAGCAGTCCACCCCCAACACCGACGGGAGGTAAACCATGTATGACATGCCCCCGGGGTCGACTGATAGGTAATCTGTACGCGAGGCGCTCTTCAATTAGACAAGAAGAGTATCGCATGGCGAGTGGTGGATACTTCTAGGAACGAACTTCTTCAGACATAATATAGAGGCTCAATAGCTGCAGCAATCTGAGATTCGTCTCAGAGCAAGCTCGAACACTTCTCTTTAGTTACCATATGACAGGCAACTCGTTTCTTCACGCGTAGCTCAATCGCTGCCCTTAGTTACGATGGCGGAGTAGCAACTCAGTAGTCTTGCGCGACAGCGATGTCGATCCATGAACCAATGCCAAATTTCTCAGTAGAAGAGGCGTATCGGCAGCCTTTCAACTAGATAGATGGTGGTTCATCCAGCGTGTCTCTGATATAAATAATAATACATATGCTGCGTACAGGAAAATGTTTTGCTCCATAAAATTGGCGGGGGGCGTTGAGTCAGCAGCCCCTACGTCATGGCACAAACCCCACCAACCACAGTCCGTCTTCCGCGGCTCTTCATCACCAACTCCGCCCACCAAGCTTGCTATCAACGAGCAATCTCGAACACAACATCGCCGACGATCCAGTCCAGAATGCCCTCCAGAGAAGCAACGCATGCCGGGTCCTGGTACTCAGACCACGAGCCAACCCTCTCGAGCCAGCTGGAGAAATGGCTTGCCCAGGTCCCAGACGAGCTGCCCGGCATCGGCCGACTTCCCATCGCGGGAGCTAGAGTCATCATTGCACCGTATGCTTCCGTGCTCTTCCTGCGCATCCTGCCCTTGGTGGCCTTTTCTTCATCCATCTGCTAATGTCACCACCGTCATATATGGATGAGCAGTCACGCTGGCTACGCATACTCTGGACCGTGTGCTGCATGGGCTTATAAGGCGCTGGACCTCTCCAAAGCGTATGTCCACCTCTATCTAAACCATATTATAAAAAGAAACTCTCAACGTGTAACTTACCAACAACAAACAAACAAACAACAGGAAACGCATCTTCCTCCTCGGCCCCTCTCACCACCACCACCTCTCCACCCTCGCCCTCCCGCAACTAACCAGCTACAAAACCCCTCTCTCCCCGGACCCACTGCCCCTCGACACAGACCTAATCACCCACCTCCTCTCCACCACCTCCACCAACCCGCACTTCACCACGATGAGCCCGCCCGTCGACTCCGCCGAACACAGCCTAGAGCTCCACCTCCCCTACATCCACCATCTCCTGCGCACGCTCTACCCCACCAGGGCCCCCGCCGCCTACCCCCGCCTGGTCCCCATGATGGTCGGCAGCACCTCCCCAGCCACCGAAGCCGCCTTCGGCGCCCTGTTGGCCCCTTACCTCGCCGACGACACGAACGCCTTCGTCGTCTCCTCCGACTTCTGCCACTGGGGCCTCCGCTTCGGATACACGTATTACGTGCCCGGCGCGCCGGTGCCCGCGCCCGCGCTGCCGATCTCGTATCCGAAGCTTCCCGTGCCGGCGGCGCCATCAACGACGACGACGACGACGACGACGACGCGGGGTACTGCTACCGGTGCAGCGGAGGCTAGGGCGGCATCGACGCGTGTCCGGTGGCGGCGCATTCAAGGCCGCAGCGCATGCTAGGGGGGCGGGGCGGGGGTTCCCGCTCATCACGGAGAGCATCTCTGCGTGCGACGTGGCGTGTATGCGGGCGATCGCATCCGGGGAGACGGAGCTGTTTCTCGACGCGCTGCGCAGGACGGGCAATACGGTCTGCGGGAGGCATCCGATTGGGGTTGTGATGGCTGGGTTGGAGGCTGTGAGGAGGAGTCATGGGGATGGGGATGGGGATGGGGATGGGGATGGGGATGGAGACGGGCTGCAGAAGGGCAAGTTCTACTTCGTCAGGTATGAGAGGAGCTCGGATGTGGTTGCGGCTGGCGAAAGCTCGGTTAGCTATGTTTCTGCGTTTGCAGTGCTGTAATAGATGGCAGAGAGGGGCCACAAGGGGGGGGGGGGGGGTGGTTTGGCGTTTGCATGGTTGTTTATTGTTTGTGATTTCCTCTGCGCCTTTGATGATGACGGGGGAGAGAGAGAGAGAGAGAGAGCGAGGAGTACATGGCGCTCGGGCGATGGATAGATCGAGGTGTGGATTTCGGTGATGATGCGATGCAGACTGATAACCTGCCATAATTCATTGTAGCCATGCCACATACCACCTCTCCCGCCTCGTCACCAACGGGGTTTCAAGGTGGATCTGCATACACAGATACAGATGCATATACATATACATACACATACACATATACACATATAGCCGAAACCCACCGCCGCCCCTCCCTTCGCAGTTCTACGCACATGTCCACCGCGTGTCTCGCTCTCGCCCTCCCCCTCCATCCAGATGACGGAAGTAAAGTAAAAGTAAAGTGGAATTAAGATAAGATAAGATAAGAATTACAAACACATTCCCCACCCTGCCTGCCTGCCTGCCTGCCTGCCCTGCGTCCTTTCGGAACTTGGAACTTCGGATTGCCTTACCTTACCTAACCTAACCCTCGGGCCCGCCGTCCCGCCAGAAGCATACGTACGTACGTAGTAGGCATACGTAAGAAGCGGGGATGGGATATACCTAGTATACCTAATATACCTAACAAACACGCAAATGTGCGTGCGGACGTAGACGTAGACGTAGACGTATGTACTATGTAGAGTCTTCGATCGCGCACTACTCGCTAACAAGCAAAAGCAAAAGCAAAAGCAAAAGCGCGCGTTGCAGCGCAGGGAGGTACGTTGCGTACGCGCGGGGCAATATCATATCATACCATATCATATCATACAACATCATATCACATCGTATCATATCCTATCCCACCCGTCCGTCCGTCCGTCCGTCCGTCGCTGCCACAGTATTTCCATTGCAGCCCGATGGATAATACGTCGTAATTATTTGCCCGGTGCGCCTGGGGCAGCCATCACGTAACGACGACGACGACGACGACAACGGTGATAAAGAGCCGAAAAAATGACGATGTGAAAAACGTTCGCAATGCAATGCAATCAATGTATGCAATTGGTGCAAGGTATGAAAGTGCCCGGCGGCGGCGGGTCGGTCTGGCGGCACACGTCCCATCCCATCCCACCAGTGCGGATAGATAGATAGATAGATAGATAGATAGATAGACAGAGGGGCGTAACAAGCAAGCCCAAGCCCAAGCCCAAGCCCTTGGGCCATGCGTTGCGTGCGTATGTATGTTTACGGTTGAAGGAACATGGATACATACATACGACGATATATGATATTATCCTGCCTCCCTCCCTCCCTCACGCTCAACGGAAGAAAACAACAACATCGACTGAGCGACGAGTCGAGTCAGGGGGGTGGGGGAGCAAGGGAAGCGGGGATGTATTATGTACATATATCCCTATATCCACCGCTGGCCGCGACTCGGGTGTTGCGTGAGGGACGCAATGGACGCAACGTCAACGTCATCCATCCCCTGCCTTGCCACGGGGGGATCGGATGGGATTCCGTCCGTCTTTGTTGTCTGTGCCTTGCTCTCTTTGCTTTCTTTCCGCGCGCGGGGGTCCCAGGATGGATATGCGATGGAAGGTCTGCATAGCTGAGATTATTCATCCATGGCTCGTACTCTCCACGCCCGAAACGGGAAATGATGAGAGTGAGTGAGGAACGAAGCTGGAGACGGAGAGTTAGTAAAGGAAAACATCGCTGTACATCACTGCCGTATGATGAGAATCATGGTATCCATGGTATTTTTCTCCAAGACGGAGACGCGTCGCTCGTTCAACGATGGAGAAGTTGCCAAAGTTTGCGAAGAACTTGAGCCCCGGAAGAAGAACAAAAAGATCCACCATTCGATGGAGAGTTACCGGTATTTCAGGCTATCCTGGTATTCCTGTAATCGAACCGTACACGCTCTGTACGGAGGTATGTATGGTATCGTAACCCGACCCAGCGGCGAGCCACGTAATCGTTCATCCGATCTGGCTCCGGGAACTCTTGTGTCCTCCTCCTCCTCCTCTCTCTTCTCCTACATCTTCCCCCGTTGATCAGAAGACCAAGTGAAGAACCTTATGAATGGCAGGCACTCGTCGAAGCTCGATTTTGAGATAGATCACGCTCTTGTCTAAGGGAGTCCCTGCAGCCTGGAAGAGGATTTGTTATCATCCCATCTACGAATGAGTGCCAGGCTCCCATGTCCTCCGTAGACAGATACAGATGTCTATATACAGATCTGTGCCCCGGACACGCTCTAAAAATATCACCAGCCTACAAGGACGAAATAGGAAGGAAAAAGCAAAAAAAAGGAAACGAAGAAAAAGAAGCCGGATGGAGGGGCCACTAAGCTGTATGCGGATGGTAGATTGCAGATCACTCAACCACAATACAATACGTGACGAGGGAGACGATCTATGTATATATTCTAATGATTAACCCCGCCCCCCTGATTGGGAGTCTGGATATATGTCGGAGGCGGCTGCTCTGTCGGTGATCTTGCTTGCTAGGAAGCGCAGAGAGAGGAGAGAAGAAAGGTTTGAGTGGCCGGCTGGAGGGGCCTCCACATGTGTGTTGTGTTGGTGCAAGACAAAGCGCGGATCGACGGGGATTTGGGTTTAGCGTGAGGCTGGTTTTCGATGAGCTGTGGCTGGTGATAGAAAGGTTCAAGAGAAAGTGTAACCCGTAGATGTGCGGAGGACAGAGTTGTGGCTACATCGTGATGCCATTTGTTTCCATCGGCTTCCTGTGTCCGACCTAAGGTTCGAGAGGGAGAGGCTACGTTGCCTCATACCGAGGTAGGCTCACGGGCTACGTGACGTTCTTTAGTTTGCCTGTGGCAAGGAATCGTGGAGTACTCATGTATATATGTATATGTGTATATATGGATGGATGGATCATTGTATTCCGTCACAGCTAGCTCGTAGGCATTAACTAGCCGAGTCACCAAACCAAACCAAACCACTGACGATTTGCCGTAAGAACAAGAGAGGGAGAGAACAGCAAACCCCGACAGAAAAGGCCTGACTTAGCAGCTTCCGCGCGGAAACCCGCTTACCTAACGCCCGCAGCACAAAAGCTGACGACGCCTGCCAAGACCTCGGGCGGCCAAGACCGCCCGCTGGCTGGGTGCGCTAGGCTGGAAGTGGCTAGTGCCACAGGGGGGGATTCGTCACTGCCCGTGGCCATTACGACGCCCGGGCCCCATACGCGGTTTGTGGTTCGGCAGACGCTGATACCGAGGGGGAGAGAGGGGAGATAGGGGAGATAGGAGAGAGAGAGAGATGAAGAGATGAAGAGGGGGAAGAGATGGTATAGTGATTTACATATTGAGACTGTGGAGTGGAGTGTAGGGTGATGAATTGGTGTGTGGTGTAATCTGTATTGTCGAAGTATTGTCATCAGGGAGAACGTCCCAATACAGGCATACGCGTTCTGGTTGGTAATCCACCGTATCAGCGATACACAGCGTACAGCATCCTCCCCACAAACCACACACCACTCACGCTCACGCTCACACTCACTCACACAATCCTCGCCCAATCCTCGCCGCCGCCGCTGCCTTCTTCGTCGTCGTCGTCGTCGTCGTCGTCCTTTTCCTTTTCTCTCCCAACATCGCCAACCTCGTCTTCGTCTCTCTCTCTCTCTCTCCCTCTCTCTCTCTATCTCTGTCTATCTCTATCTCCATCTCCATTCTCTTGTCTCTATATATTCGATCCCTCCCGCTGCGGCTCCTCCCTGTCCCGTGTGTGCCGCCTTTTCTCTGCCAGCGATCTGCCCGCCAAGACGACAAACTCGGCTGTGCTCTCCAGACTGCGCTCTCGCTTTCCATCCATCCCAGCCAGCCAGCAAGACAGACAGACGGATCTCTCCTCCTCTTCAACCCGCTATCGCGAAACAAACAATCCCATCATTCAATCCATCGATCCATCGATCCATCGGTCACCTCCATCCTCCGTCTAACACCTCTCCCTGACCACCACCTCACTTCGATCTGAAACTCAGCATCCATCTCCACGACATCCCCTCTGCTCGTCGCTCGTCGCTCGTCGCTCGCCTCCGCTGCTGCTGGTGCTGACAGTCTCCTGTCTCGCCATGGCGGACCGTCCCCCTCATCGCTCTGGCGCACATCCTCCCTCCCGTTCTCCTCGTTCTCCTCGCTCATCCACGCCCTCCTCAACCTCCACACCCTCCGTCTACGATGCCTCCCATCTCACAAAGCAATTCGAACAATTGCTGCGGACCCGCCGTCTGAATTCGCTGCAGGAGCGATCCCGTTCTAGAACCACTTCACCTTCACCTTCACCTGCTCCTGCTCCTACCACTCCTCATGCTGGTTCTCGTCTTTCCCGCACTCATCGATCTTCTTCCTCGCACCAACATCATAATGATCATCATCAGCAGCAGCAGCAGCAGCAACAACCACAACCACAACCACAACCACAACCGCAACCGCCATCGTATTCCCTTCGAAGCCTCCCCCTCGTCCCTGCGCCTCCCCAAGATCCGGTCTCCTTCAAATTCAGCAACCTGCTCCATGTCTTGTCCGTCACCCCTACCAAGTACGAAAACCGTGGGCCTGCTGGACGAGGCCCTCGAAGATTTTTTTTTAGATCGGATCTACCAGAGGCTGAGGGGGGGGGAAAGATCCTCCAGGCCGAGGCTGCCACCACGGGTGAGAACACGAAGCCGCAATGGTTTTATCAAGACTGCCCCATCAAAGCTCTGCTGAGGTATGTGTGTTGACTCA